AAAAACCTCGGCGAGCATAAATACCCTGTCAGTGTCCCTTTAAGTTACAAGACGGAAAGAAATGTTACAAGAGGGCGAAGACAGGACTGTAGCTTGAGACAAGTTAAGAAATGCTCATTTTGGGATCGTCCTTTTTTTGTTTTCTTTATTACATTTTGTAATGAGCCACTGCAGACTGTAGGCTAACGCGCGCCCCAGTGATACACGTGTGATGTATTAGTGATCGTCCCCCACTGCACCGTGAAAGCGGAGAAACCTGCAAGTTGTTATCTTCGACAAGAAAGAGCACACTGGAGGTCTATTACCATGCGGCGATATTACGCATTACTATAGGGCAGAATTTGCTTTAAAATTTCAGAACAAAAATTATATATTATGGCTTTGAAACAGCAGCGACCAGTTTGCCTCTTCGACGAAAATTCCTTCAACGAGTTGCCCTATGACGAAATGGCCTATTCGATGAATGGGCCGCCGACGAGTTGGCCGTCGACGAGTTGGCTTTCGACGAGTTGGCCTAGACCCGTGCTAAATACTTCTATGCATAACTCAGAATATAATTTTTTTTAACGTCTCTTTGCCTCGCTTCTTAAAAACAGACCCAAGAAAACTTTGGCGATACATTTCTCCAAAGAAGGAACAAGTAGATAAACTAGTTGTTGGTGGATTGGACATCACTACAAAGCAAAGAAATTTCGGCCTCTATTAACCAGTACTTTTCTAGCATGTTCTCTCCAGACAATGGTTTCATACCGTGTTCCTCAGGCTTTCCTTATGCACTGCCACTACCTGACATTGTTGTTTCAGAGGAAGGGGTGTTCGCCTCACTGCTCAGTTTAGGTAATAAAAAAAGTGCGGGCCCCGACAATATTCCTAACGAGTTTTTAGCGAGATACACCAAATGGTGCCCTAAATATTTATACTGTTTATTTTCCTAAATCACTATGAGGAGGCTCAGTACCAAATGTCTGGAAATGCGCCAAAGTCGTTCTTAGAACAAAATCAGGGAGAGTACTGGTGACACCAAAGTGTCGAACCGAAATTTTTATCGGTTCAGTTCAAGTTTAGGTTTGCGGCTTTCGGTTCAGTTCCGGTTCCGTTCTGGGGAGAAAAAATGACGGTAAAAACTGGTTCGAACCAGTTTGAACTGCTAGAGTGAAAATATATTTTCTGCATTGTTAAGGCAATAGGCACTATTTCCACCATGAAATTACTAGCTTTAGAGTTTCTTTTCCCTTTGTACAATCATCTTTTAATTTCAGTACCAAAAATATGAAACTGCATTATTTAATTTTGACACAACAAAAAAAAAAAAACTTGATTAATGTACAATACGTCGTGTTTATATGACTCGACATTAATTTGTTTAGCTCAGTCACATATATTTCACCTCCGTCGAAAGGTTGTCGTGAAGTGAGGTAGGTCTCTTATAATACCCATATTTGGTACAAATTTGCGTCGCAGTCTTAAAAGTTGAATAATAGTTGTGCTCTTGAACTATGGTATCAATTACAGTGCATAAAAGCATGAAATGCCCACCCATCGTCACCATATATATCCTAAAATATAGTTTACAAAATACTTTTCACAATATATGTATATGATGATGATGGAACTGAGCTAAAAGCAATCATACTTTTAAAATGTTTCAAAAGTTTTAGGACAAACCCTTTCAGACTGCCTTTGGTAGAAACACTGAGCGGCAATCACAACGCTAGTTTTTTTAACTTACAGTGATGTAGTCGAAGAATCATACAGAAAGGAGTGATCAAAATTGCTCACTCTAATTTGTATGCACCTTCGTATTCAGATTGAAGCTGGTCTAAAATAGCGCATACCCAAATGAACATTTTCTTGTACAGGGATAAACAGGTATAGCGTGGCTGTTGAGGTTTCTTCTTAACAAGATGCCGGTCGATTTAACTTGAAAATAAGCATCACCCTTTCTAAATTATGATTTTTTGTTAAATAAAACAAAGTAGTATTTGATGCTCTACTCGACATGGCAGCATGTTGAGATGACAGCACGTCACAATGCTCTACTCGACATGTTCGCTCTCTGGCGGTCTGCGTGCGTAATCTTCATAGTTTTGCCCCGTGCCCCCGTGTATTTTCTTTTTGTCCAGCCCACAAACACATAAAATTGGTGTTCATTACATAGAAGGGGAAGTGACAGACTTCTACATGTTTGAAAAGTTATTCATATGTCAGGAACACATATATTCAAATAAACTGCAAATCCAGAAATTTGTTCAATGCTCTCTCAGATCACTGATACACGTGCCTATCGAGGATAAATATGCCAGAAAAGATTAACAAAGCATTTTCCAGATAATTTATCTTGTGAAATATTCAGTCAGTAATAAAGCCTATTTTTATTGTCACCAAAAAATTTGACTGTATGAAGTTCACAGAACCGCTTGAGACCGACAAGAGAGGACGATGCTCGGAAATACGCCAGCTGTTGAGCCGATTTGTGCAAACATGTTTTTTGTTCACTATTTAGCTGTGTGAAACAACAGGCTGCGGGGTATGCCAAAAGGATTGTGCTCATAGGCGTAGACTTCGGGAGGGCACCGGGGCTCGTGCCCCCCCTGGTAAGATCCGGGGAGGAGGAAGGGAAGCAAAGTCCCCCCCCCTCCCCCCGGGCCATGATCCTTACCGAGACGCTGTTTATGTGCCATGTAACAAGCTTCTATAGTAGTGGCATGTAAACAAAATAACGCCAACATTGCCTTTATCGACAAAATACATGGGAAATGGAATCCCAGCATGCTTTCGTTAGCTTCAATCTCCCGTTCTGGCGAAAAGGTAATGCGCAGCATTACCTTTTCGCCAGAACCATGTCATGGTTCTGGTGTGACATGACATGGTGAACCAAGTCACCATGTCATGTGATTCGTGGTGTGAAGTCAAATCAAATCAAATCAGTTTATTTTGCCACAAACAATACATTTGGGACAAGGGGGCTGGAAAAAAGTTGCAGGATTCCAGCTCGACGAGTTCAAGTGCAATGTGATGTCATGTGTGACATCACGGTGTCAACAATGCTAATGAATCTAGTGACGTTCTCAATTTGAATCGACTTGACAAAGTGACATACTCGATTGCCCTCTGGCGTCACGTGATGTCACAGGGCCACTAGACGTGACATTAGTTAACAGCAACGTTGGTTGACAGCATGTCTTGACACCGTGGCGTCGCGTCAGCACGTGACACATGACGACACATGATTAATCATAGTGCCAATACATAAGCCTCATGAAAGACCACAATTTCGCACACATTTCAATTCTGCATATGCCGATTTGATCTATACATAGAAGTACAGCTCCCAATTTTTTTCTCACAAAATTTGTTTGTGATATTAAAAAAAAAAAAAGAAAGAATTACTGTGAATATTTTTGAAGCGGTCACCATTATGTTTTTTTTTGGTTCAGTTCCTGTTCAGTTCCAAGATGGCAGCGAAGATTTCGGTTCGGTTTAGCTCCGGTTCACCTAAAAATAATGGTTGGGTTCTGGTTCGACACTCTGAGTGACACTAATAATTATAGACCGATTTCCTTGCCTTGCACGGTCAACAAACTGCTTGAACATATAGTTTACAATCATATTTTTTCTTTCTTTGAAACAAATGATATTGTCTGTGCTGAACGACATGGTTTTAGGTGGAAGCTTTCTACGACCATGCAACTCGCAAAAACAGTTTATTATTTTTTCAGATATCATTAACAGAAGGGGACAGACGGACATTATATTTGTAGATTTTTCAAAGGCCTTTGATCGAGTGCCACATCCCAAACTTCTTTTAAAATGACGAAAGTTCCCTCTTTGGTCATTTCAGCCTTTAGCTGAAATGACTTCCGTCACTTCAGTTTCTTTTTAGGAGAAATGCAACATTTGTCGAACATAACACCCAGTTGTCAGCCTGTAACTATAGTCGGTGACAGGTTCAGAGTAGAGTGGAAGCTCCTCCCACCTCTTTCCACTTTAGTAGAGCGAACGCTGGAGAGGAGGTTGCATCTCCTATGTTTGCTCTGCTAAGGTGGAAAGAGGTGGGAGGAGCTTCGACTTTACTCTTAACATGTCACCTACTATAGGCGAAGAAATAATGTGGCTTAACTAATACAAACCAAAATTATTAGGCTCCTTATAGAGTAGTGAATGCAAAATGAAGGTGACTGGCTGTCTCTTTTCAGTGCAAAAGGAGTTTTCAAGTAAGCTTTGCTTTGGGACATATATCCGGTAACGATAGTCAAGGATCTCTAAAATACATACGACGATGAGATCCTATTCAGAGACTCGTTGCGCTGTACATGGGTAATAGAGAAATAAGCGAAGTAATTTTACGAGAAGGAAGCAAGGCTGCTTCACTGGGGCATACTGCAGTAAGTGGCCTTTGAACGGCTAGAAACAGATCGATCTCTCGTGCTTTCCACTAGGGGACCATCGAAATTGCTTTAAAATTTTAATTGCCGTTTTTCTTGCTCGCGCTCTCAACAGCACCGCCCGGATAACCTGATACTGGGCATCGCTAGGGTGCCCTCAGACCACGCATTCTCGCAAGTCACGCTGCACTCGTTTGGGTCCACATCTGCAGCCTGGTTACCTGGGCATCCCCAGGGAAACCGAAACGAACGGGAACGGGCAGCCCGGCGCGTCCCAGCGGCAGGCGCTCCGTTCGCCAGTTCATCGGCAAATCGCGTGCAGCCATGCCGAGGACGGTGACCCCTCCGAGGATCAGCTGATCCATACACGAACACCGCAAGGATCAGCAGGAAAGCGCGCCGATCCAGAGGTGGCGCTTGCTTACCCCTCTCCCTCACGGGGATTGTATGGACCTGCCGGCCGCCGGGCAACTCGTCGTGCCGCTGGTGGACCACCCGCCCCCAAACCGCGCGAACGGACCCGACGCGATCCCCCGGCCCGCAAGCTCGGCCTCGAGATTCCCGCCTGGGCTACCCCGCCAGCGGCCCCCAAAATGCTCAAAGGCGGCTTCCTACCTCCGTTTTGGTGATTCGATGCCTGGCCAATTTGACCACGGCGAAGTTTCCTTTGCCGATGGTGCGTTCGATGTCGTAAAATCCCACACGAATGGGACCTTTGAGCTTGAGTGCCATGCCCATGATCAAATGGGGCTCCAGAAAGGCAGAGGTATGGCCCAGGAGGGCCAAGCCCGCCCCGCACCGAAGGAACCGACGCCGGACACCACTAACATGCCGAAAACCTTCAGCGCGAACAACACAACACAAGCAAAGAGCGGCGTGCAGGAACGACGTCAACGCTGGCGCGCGTCATCACCCGTGACGCACTTCCCGTACGCAGGCGCGCGCCTCCTTCCGTCGCTGCCGTGCGTACGCTTCCCCGCACGGCTCGCGCCGGTGGGCGTAGCGACAGCCTTTCATCATGCCGCCATTCCCCGTCCCGTTTTGTTTTGTGTCTTGCGAAATCACGCGACCATCGACCAGCTCCGTCGACTGGGGATCACTGACTTCTCCTGAGAATCCGTGAACGAGTGATTTGTGAAATTAACGCGCAAGCGCGCGGCGGTGAAAACGAGAAGGTGCTGAGCGCGATGCCTTTCGAGTTCGCGTGGGCGGCCTTGAAGCTATAGCTGCGTTTTCGAAAGCCATTTTTCATTCTGTCAAAGTGCGACGACGCCGAGCGTGCCATAGCGAAATGGGGAAGATAGAAAAAACGACGCTGCAGCAGCAGCACCTGGAGCGAGTCATGTCTAAAATTTTGCCACGCGAGTGTTTATCGAGTTACCTCAAACGGGTTCTACGTGGGAACACGCGGAACACGCGGGCGAGAGAAATGATATGAATTAGGACACAAGCCAACAATGCGAAGTCAAGTAAAAGTCTATGAAAATATGAATTCAATATGAAAATCCTCAATTCCTAAAAAAAAAAAAAAAAAAAAAAAAAGCCGTTAAATAATTTGCAGCTTTTGTTCTTTTTTGTAGCGAAAAAAAGTTTTTGCAATCCTATGTGCTTAAAAGGTTTCTGTAGAGATTAACCGCAACTATTTTTAACTGTCTAAAAGTGTAGCTATTTCTTTGACAGTCATCGTAGTTTCTGCATCATTGAGTTTCTGAGACGTTGAAAATGATTTTGTGGCCATGGCGAAGGTGATCGATACAAGAAGTTATATTAAAACTAGCGAAAAACAGTAAGTTCGACGATAAATTTGTTCAAATAAATTTCGCTAAAAAATAGATAAGGCTTGTGGATATGCTTTTTGTGATACAACATACAGCGGGGAAATCGAAACCAACGTTTTCAGTTTCAAATTAAATAAAACTCACGTACTTACATGTCTTTTTAATTTTGAATTGGGTAACATTTTGCGTCATCTAGCTACTGATAAAAACAAAACAACCTTGAAGGAGCATCTAGCCGTGCCCTAGTAGAGCGTAGAAATGGTAGAAATTAACGAAAGTAATTTTTGTAATATAAGCATTAAAAAATAACTAAAATATTGTATAAATAAAAAATACGTTGATCAGTTTCTGGTGGCTTATATTTCAACATTTCGACATAATTTCGCCAATTTCAGATGATTCGAGTGTGGCGCAGATTGGACAGTGGCTGAATAGTTGGCTTTGATCTTGGCTTTGATGGCTTTGATACAGTTCACTCCACTGTAGCTTTGATTATTCTCTAGCCACCCTACGTTGATAGTGGTCATCGTGATGTTTCTGTTTACAGTAAATCCAGTAAGCGATAGGTTTGGTTCGTCTTTCAACCGCGATAAAACTCGCCAAGTTTTAAATACTGTGAACTTAAAGTGTGCAGCGTCGGGGAAGTAGATGAACATTCATTGCGCATTTCTACCGTGAGCTTCCCGAACCGAGGAATGAAGCTATCAACATCCACCAACTCGCGCGGGTGACAGTGCCAGGGGCCGTCCGGTGCGGTGGTGGAAATGTCCGAAGACGAGGCAAGTGTTGCTGCTAGGAGCATGCTTTCTCTTTTATTTATTTATTTTCTTTTATTGGGCACGTACGAATTGTGGCAATATCGATGTTTGACCGTACTCTAGGCCGACCGGCTCCAACAATAGGCAGCCCACAGCAGCGACCGGCAAAGTTCCGGAATATGTGGCTGCGTCACTGTTTCGCCTTGAACAGCTGAACCGCTCGCGTGATCGCAATGGCACATGTTCGAACCTTCGAACGCGGTGTGGGACTTGGCATGACTGTCCAGCGGCACTGCGTTGGTCCATTTGGGGTTTTGAAACGATCCGCACGTGGGCTGTCTCGTCACCGGCGGCGAGTCCAGTTTTTAATTTCTCTTTGTCTATGTCCCTTTCTGCATGCTTCCTTTTTTTATTTATTTATTTATTTTTTTTGCTTTGGAATGTGCTACCACCATTGCCGTTTACCCATTCATTTGCATTCCCCTTTTCTCGCTGCATGACTCATTTGCAGCTTGATTTGTAAATGGCGCGCACCAATCAAAATATCGACAAGACGAGATAAAGCATGACTCTTCCCCAAACAAAGCCCTTTTTTTCTTCTTCATATTTTTTACGTTTTTACTTGAAGGCCGTGGTTATCTGCGCTGCGCTGGCGCGATTGAACACGTATCAGTATTCTTAGCAGGCATGGCTTGAGCTTTTGTTGGCAAATGATCACAGAGGAGGCATATCCTTCATCGGTGTCCTCATTGTGTCCGTTCAAGTATATATCTCCACAATTTCCTGCTTGTTTTGTGTGGCAAGTGTTTGATCAGAATGGGACAGCAATATTTTCGTAGGTTTTCTATTTACTTTTTTAATTTCTTTCCAGTTATTCTGCGGAGCCTTTCTAAGTCATCACCTTGCACTCTGCCTCAATGGCTATTTAAGAAAGAAAGAAAAGAAGTCGTCAGTATTGCGTTTAGATTGTCAAACATTGATGCTCTTTTTTTTTTTTTTTAAGTGGGGGGTGTTGGGGGGGATTTGTTGGTTGGTTGGTTGGTTCATTTTCTTGGGGGATCGGTGGCCGAGTGGGCTAGCGCACATTAGCTTGGAGCACGTGGAGCGAAAACTTGCGCTGCGGAACCTAGGATCCTGTGTTCAATCCCCACCCCTGCCCGTCTGGATCTGGATGAGCATCATACCGGCGCGCGGTCGTGTATCACTACTGCATGGTGCACGTTAAAGACCCCAGGCTGGCAGTTCTACTGCACTGGCTAGATTTCTCATCTCCAGCTCGGGGACTCCCTGCCCGTCTGGATCTGGATGAGCATCGTACCGGCGTGCGGTCGCGTATCACTACTGCGTGGTGCACGTTAAAGACCTCAGGCTGGCAGTTCTACTGCACTGGCTAGATTTCTCATCCCCAGCTCGAAGACTCGTCGCCCATTGAGGCTGACCAAGTTCAAGGCTGTGTAAACATACACACAGCCCAAATTTAATTTTCTTCTTTTACCTCTTTCCCCTACTCTTGGAACAATATACTGTTTGAGAAGGGATGCCACTGGTTTTTGTTATGGTCACATGATTGCTAATACCAGCCAGTGGGAGTGAGGCCCCACTTTCAAGTGTATAGTGTCTACATTACAGGTGGTAACACTATACTATATCAGGGGTGGCCAAATCGTGGCTCACAAGCCTCGTGTACCTCTTTGGGGGAAGTGTGGCTCAAGGCTCGCAACTCCCCAGAAAGATCAAAGGGAAAGACAAAAAAAAAAGGATTCTCACATTTTATGAGCTTTGTGCCGTCATGTGCAGATCGGACAAGGTCCTTATTTTATGAATGGGAACTCTCAACAAATTTACGTGCTGGGCAATTGCTTTATGAGTGGAATTCGCCATAGCCACCAGCTGAGAAGAAAAAAAATGTTAAAGAAGTGCCACACCCCCTTTTTATCGTGGTTCTTCACTTAAATGGGTACTGTAATCGGACGAAGAAAACCAAATGCTGCTTCAAAGGGCTTGCCCATCAGTGTCAAACGCGAGCATTCAGTGACAACATTGGTCTAAAGCTTCGGATAAGGACTACCTAGAATTGTGGAACTAGTACTGGCTGAATAGGTACACGTGACTCCTTTCGATCTTTTCCAGCGTGTGATTCTTCGCTTGGTGTGGTGTTCAATCTTCATAATTGGTGGGGCGTGCACATCTTCATAACTGGATGTTAATTCCAACAATTAGGAAGATCGCGCATGGTTGTTACACATTCTTGTCGTTTCGGTTTTGTATTGGTCCAGGCCAAGAATGTCATCAACAACAAAAAATGTGCTAAAAATTCTGAACTTCTTTCACCTATTATGTTTAAAATACATCAGATTTCCTCCTTATTTTATTTTTGATGCGTTACTATAGTCCCACTCACTAGTGCGAGCGAACGTTATGCAAATTAAAAATCTGACATTTACAAATCTCTCTGATGCGAAATTAGAGTGCAGCTCTTGAGGAGGAGGAGGAGGGGAGGGTATGCCCCTCTCCTTCATAACCTCCTCTTCCGCCTCCCATACCCCCCTCCTCCTCCTCCACATGGGATATCAATTTTCCCGCTAAATCTGACAGAGAAACTGAATTTGTTCATAGGTGAAGTGACAGCAAGTCAGTGACATCATTTTCCCTCTAAATTTAGCGGGGAAACTGAATTGGTATTGAGGTCCCGTGAGATCAATTTTCCCGCTAAATTTAGCGGGGAATTAAATTGCTGTTGAGGTCACATGACATCAATTTTCCCGCCAAATGTAGCGGAGAGGGTGAATTTGTTGATAGGTGACATGACATCAAGTCGTGTGACGTCATTGTCTCCGCTAAATTTAGCGGGGAATTGAATTGGTGTTGAGGTCATATGACGTCGATTTTCCCGCTAAATTTGTCGCGGTTACGCCGCTCAACCCAGAAACAGGCACCTGAGAGCTCCACTGTAAGAAAATGGAAAGAAACGCTTAGTAGGGCCCCTCTAATATTGTTCTTTTTTATAGCTCTGAATATGTCCATGTATGTATGTATTCTGCTGTGTATTCTCTCGGCCATAAAACTTGTCTCACTTTAATCTCTCATTTTGCATTGCCACAAACTATGTTTTATGATCTCTAAAGGGAAACAAATGCAGTACTGTATCTAAGGAAAAACATGACCATCTTAATTTTGCCTCCGACACTACAAATAGCAAGTTTATTTTTTAAAAATTTGATGTGCAGAATATTTATAAAAGCACTTTTAATTTAGCCTTTCTTGTGCGATTGTCTGTGGTTTGCGTTTTGCCGTTTTGCCCCCATTGTTGGCTGGCCTGTCTGTTAGAATAATTAGTTTGCTTTTGCTCTTGTTTTACCGGGTATGTAACACTTTCATGGCTTACTCT